CATTCAGCGCCCCGCTGGAATTTTGTAACCGCCATTGCTTGCAAACCGTAGGTTTTAACTTTTGTCAAAAATCCTCGGTTTTCTGATTACAATGATAACAAAACTTTTAATAAATAAGGGTATTTCAAATTTACCATTTATTTCGAAATTTTCTGAAAAAAGGGGAAACTGTCTTTCTTTAAGTATTCTATGGAATATATTATGGGATGAACGGAGGCATTCGTATCACGCTAATAATTATCGTCATTGCGTGCATGTAAAGCAATTAGATTCAAACTTGGAAGCATTTGGTTCATAAAATTAAACGCAGCGTGTGCTTCTCTTAAAACTTCTACCTATTGAACTTCAAATTTAAGTTAGAATCTCTTAGACCAGAATTCGAAGTGTGATCATATGCGCCAAAAGAGCATTTTTGCTAATGAATTTACCAATTTTGAACTGCAGTCCTTTGCGTGCTTCACAATAGTTTGAAAATTTACCTTTGTAATTTGGAAATTGTCAGAACTGCTGAATTACGCTATACAGGAGTGCAAAGTTTAGTTTCAATGATGTCTTAAATAACTAAATAGCAAAAGATTATAGTGTTAACGATATAGTAAATTTCGTGTTCTTGTTGTCTTAATAAATAATTGTACGAAGATTTAACCTGTCTTTTTTTCTGTAAAAACCTTTCTTTCTAATAAATTTGGTTAAAAACAAGGGTGCGCTTTATACATTGGCGCGTATCATACACGGGTAAAATTGGTATTTTGTACTTTTGTGGAGTAAGACATTTCTATGCTTAGTATGCTGTAGTCTTACAAAATTTTTGCTAAGAAAAAACATCATATCAAGTGAAGTGCAGTTTACCAAAGATGGAGATCACTGAAACTTTCAGGAGAGTCCTATGTGGGATGTTAACCAGGATTTTATGTAGGATGTTTAAAATTCCTACATGGGATCCTACCAGTAGACTTTAGAGTGGATATCCACTAAAATAGGCAGGATCTCACTCAGGAGAGTCTAATGATCCTGGACGGGCTTGACAAGGTCTTACCAGGGACTCCCTCCAGCTGGAATCCTGCCTATTCAGGTGCGATCCTGGCTAGATTTCCACCAGGGACAAATTCAGGATCCTGCATAGGTTTGACAGAATCCTAGCTGGGATCCCATCTGGGAGGTTCCCTTATTTAAGGTGGGATCCCAGCTGACTTCTTGGCCCAGAGAAACCCAGAATCCTGCATGGGATTGACAGAATCCCACCTGGGATCCCTCCCAAATGATTCCATAATTCAGAGCAGGATACCACATAAAATAGGCAGGATCCTGGCTGGGAGAAACCCGGGTATACTAGGTGGGATTGACAGAATCCCACCTAGGATCTTCCCTAGGCATTCCATAATCCCGGGCAGGATCCAGACAAGGATCCCACCCAAAATAGGCAGGACCCGGCTGGGAGAAACCCAGGATCCTGGATGTGCTTGATAGAATCCCACCTGGGCTCTCATCAAAGAGATTCCAGAACTCCAGGCAGGATCCTAACTAAAATACGCAGGTCCTGGCCGGGAGAAACCCGGGTATCCTGAGTGGGATTCACAGAATCCCACCTAGGACTCCCCCGGGAATTCCATAATCTTGGGCAGGATTCCAAACGGGATCACATTCAAAATAGGCAGGATCCCGGCCGAGAGAATCCCGGGTGGGGTTGACACAATCCAACCTGGGATCCCACTCGGGGCATTCCATAATTCTGGGTGGGATCCCGGGTGGGACTGGCGGGAACCCGCCCTATGTTTTTACTTAGGAGGACTTAGATTTTTATTGAATCCTTAAATAACTCCGACTCTCGACGCTCGCTCTCTCTTTCTTAATTTACTTCTGCTCGCTCGAAATCAGGCGGTAGGCGCACTCTAATTGCGTTGCATTATAGCCGTAAAACAAGAATTGAGTCATTTGCATCTTAACGCGTTGGAGTGAACTTCTTTGGTGGCAGCGAGATAGCGTGAATATACTTGGATTGTAATGGGGATTCGCTGTCTGTTGCCTTTCCTACGAAAGCTAAAAAGTTTGACGGGCCTGCACGACGCCTGCTATTTCTCCCTGACAAATTGGTTCTTTGGAGGCAACTGACGTTATTAAGAAGGATTCGAAACTGCAATCTGCCACAAGAATCTTGACACAAATGACAACAGTTAAACTCACAACCGACGGCGGGATGAATAATTTCAAATTGAGGTCAGAAATTATATTCCTAGACGCGAGTTATTGAACGGGGAATTGACCCTTGACATGCAAACGCATATTAAAGAGACAGAGACCTTGTAATACACGAGCTTTTTCCACCAAGCCTAAATACGGGATTTTTTAAAGAAGCTCCGCGCCTCTAAGAACGAATTTGTCTCGCTCCATGTTTGATAAAAACGTACACCGTTTCAAAATACCCTTCGAAAATAGAGGAAACCTAGATTAGGGTTTTGAGAAACTTATCTCTGGAGTCTTTCCAGCAGGAGCGAAGTATACTTTAAAACAAAGGAAATAGTGCGCAACACAGAAGAAAATATTGCCTTTTGTAACACAATCTCATCCGGCTTTTCCAAACCTCAAGAACATACAAATGGGGAAATGACACCTCAAAACTGACCCTTATCATCCCATTGAAAAGGAAAGTCATCAGGAGATACCCTAATAAGAGTTAAACTTTGCGGGTAGAAGATTTAAAGTCGCTAGCGAATGGTAGGAGACGTACAAGCCTATCAACACCTTTCAACGGTCGACTAGAGGTTTTCATGGATCAAGTGACTCTTTTCATTGCTCTAATTAAACTCTCCTTCATTCAATAATCAAGATAGAAGATTTAGCACACAACACTCGCAATTAGTTAAATTTCCTTCACTTGGGAAATTAGATTTACAACACGATTGAGTACATATTATAAATGTCCTTGCGGCAGTAACGCTATGTAACGCAACTTACTAAACGCAACAATGAGCCTTTTCGCTCCATAAAAGGCTCTCAAACACAAACACTTAAAATGCAAAAAGCATTTGTACCGCTGGAGTGCGTTTGACCAGGGCTATTGAAGAAGGATCAAAGTGGCCATACAAATCATTGAAAAGCTCAAAACTGTGACTTACAACGAATTTGACCTTCTCGAAAACCGGTCTCAAATTACCTGCTAAAAACAGTGCTTGCGTTTGTCCTTGAGAACGATAGAATACGCAACAAATACGTACGAAAAATACTTTTACACATTAAGGTTATATCAAATTATATTTACCTTTGATGAAAGGAAAAAGAAACGGCCTAACTTTTACGGAATGGTCCGTCAAAATCTGCCGATTTCTGCCGCTTTTGCCACCATATTAAAAATAATGCTACCACAATGCAGTGCAATCGGAGTGTGCACACCGCCTGGCCCAAAATAGAGTATTCGACAGTTTTTTCTTTTTCCATACGTCATAGAATGCTCGTGATCTTGAATCAGAAATTCAATCTTGGATTTCCTCAAGGAAACTCGCCCCTAAAAGGTCTGTGCCACTGAGATGCGCGTTACACTGTCACGTGTTTCGTGCAAATCACAGAACCAACTAAGTAGTTTACATCAACTTACCGTTTGTAGCTAAAAACACCTCGTGTTTATTTTGATGGAAGTAAAGGTACTTGGCTCAGATATTTCACTGGAAAAAGGGGGAAAATGAAGTAATTTAAAAATGATAATGAAGTTAACCCTTCATATGGAACAAAAGTTGGGAATTTATCCAAAGTTCTGAGTGTTTTCTTTGTCACGCTATTAAAAAAAGTCAAAGGAAACCTAGATACACATAAATACCATTTTTGAAATGCTTGTACCCAAACATGTCATATATTGTATAACACAAAGAAATTGACGAACCGTCTAAGTGTTATTTCTAAGTCAAGTTCTTTGCTTGGGATTTTTCCCGCCAACATTTCGGACAGATTCACAGGACTCAATTCTGGGCCCAAATTTTGTCACAAACGTCTCTTTTATTGAACCCATTACACTCAATTGCGGCCGGCTCATGTGGTTTGGCCGTGACGCCTTCGAATAGGAAATTTTCAGGAAATCTGCGAAATCAGGTAATCTTCACATCAAGTACGAAAATCACCGGTTTTTTTAAAGGAATGTTTGATTACATACAAGTAATAGAAATATATTGACTCAAACGGTATGCAAGCTTTTCAAGTACGACTTGATTGCTTAATTAATTTTCGAATATGAGAAATGTCCAGCAGCCAGGTAGAATTTTCATCGCTATTCCGATGATTGCTCGGTGTTAGTGCTCTCAAATCGCGAGGTTCTTGGCCGAAGAAAAGCGGAAATGAAAACGTAAAAGCAGGGAGGTTTATCGGCCCGAGATTTCTGGAGAATTTCTTACAAGTGCACGATTCCCGCCTAATAAATATAGGTCAGGTTCAGGTTCAGGTTCAGGTTTCCCCCCTCTCTCCCCTCCCCAAAATAAATTTTATAGTATTGATCATTTCTTAAATAGGTCAAGCCAGATCCTCTCTCTGATGCCACTCGTTTGTTCCCATATTTCAGTTTCATCTGGATCAGCGCCTCGGATAAGGATAAAACTTAGCTATGTGGTCATTTGGTAATTTTTTTTTTCAGCAAAATGCAGTCAACTACATCCATATTTCGTATTCATTATCATAAGTGTTATTTTTGTCTTCGTTCATGCAAATCACACCCGCTAGAAAGTGAAAAGTTCTCGAAGACAAAGAGTTGCTCATCAAGCCCAGATAGCTTACCGTTTAAAGAAATAGGCTTTAGTTGTGCTGTGATCGATCTTGTGATGAAAACTGATTTAACCGTTCAAAGCGATGGACATTGAAACCTGATGCTCCCAATGAAACAAGAATAGATGTTTCAGTTTTTCATTCTCAATTTTGTCACTAGATATAAAAGTGTGTAGTACGAAACCGAAATAGATTTACTCCGGAGTCCACTGCTGACTAGATTTTCATATCAGTTCACGCACAGATAGCTTACCGTTTAAAGAAAGAGGCTTTAGTTGTAAGGTGATCGATCCTGTGATGAAAATCCAACCTCACTAAAGGTATATATAAACACTGTGGCCTGACTTTCCCTATTAAAAAAAAAAAAATGTTTCATTCTTATATGTTCAAATCCATCATTAGTTATAAACGTTTGACGCACGAAACTGAAATACACTCGCCAAGGTTGGCTCTTTTTTATTTTATTTAATATTTTTTACAACATTTTGCAATACATTTTTACATATACATAGTTTAACCTAGTAACAATATATTACCTATAATGAGTCACTTAAACTACATTACTTAACAGACAACGAAACGACATTAACACGATTGATAGAATTGAATTCAGTTTACAATTCAAAATAGAGACTAAACGACACATAAATAAATACAAAGATAGAACAGCGAAGCTGCCAAAATACATATAATCGTACGCATATTTGTATGCGTGGTATGTAAGTATGCATGTACTACGATGTATACGAATAAGTTGGAACACCGTATCATTCGGAGGAAACCGCTGAATGGATCTCCATATTTTCCTCTCAGAGCTGGAAAGAAAGTCTATGAGTTTCATTCATTCTTCCTTGATATTCCATATCCATTTTACCGACGACAATTCTGCGTAATGTTGCCTCAACAGCACAACATTTAGCAGTTGACTTTGAAGAGTGTTATCCCTTTTGTTTGAGGGGATAGCTTACCAAACTATAACCTTGGAAAGCAGGCGAGTGACATGAGGCCAGTAGGTATGAGCTGTATCATCAAGAATATCACTTACTTCACCCACCTCACTTTGCACTTACGATGGACTCATGTTCATAACGACGACACTTGAAGCCCTCTACGGTGGCCGATTTACATCATCGACTCCGTTGAAAAAAACAAATTTTATTGTTATGACTCCCACCGACGCAAAACCACATGCACAGTTTCTTTTCCCCTTTGTGACTTTGAAGGGGTCGGATCAGTCAGAAGGTAACTCAGAACAAATTAACTTTACCGCGCCGGCGATACTCAATTTCATTAACGAAAGTTTAAGCTTTAAATGGTATTTGAAGCTTTTATACCAACCTTGTTGTTTGTGATTGTCTTTCCCTTTATAGAATGTTTTTCGGTTTTATCGAAGCAAGATATCGCAACTGTCTTCCACCAGGTCGCTGAATAAAACAGAACATGATCGAGGTCTTACTCCTTTTTATATGACACTGATAAACTGAACTGTATCAGTTTTGAAAAAAAGGCAGTACTTACCACGACCTATAGACATCGGTGCCTTCCTTTAAAGGAAGCCATCTCTGCTAGTCTGTTTGGTTTTTCTAACATAGGTCACCTACCATCGCATCAAACATCCAAAAGGTTATGATGTTCTGCTTTTTGACACTTTTGTAGTCGCTCTCGCCCCCAGGCCCACCGTTTCTTTCGGCCAGAAGCCCATTTACACTGAGGAAACGGAAACCTCAGATATAGGAGAACTCTAATTTAAATGGCAATCTTCTTGGACAAAAAAAAAATCAATCAATTAATATATTCCATCCAATTCTGTAGAGGAGAAGCTACTTACTCTGATTCCATGCACATAATTAGAAAATCATATTCTTTATTGCTTTTTGATTATCCAACGTTTGATACAGAATAGTAAAGAAGATAAAACTTAAAAGTGCACTTCCTTGGGAAGGAAATATTCAAAAACAAATTAGTGACAGCTACTTGTCTGTCTAGCTACCATCGATCGGTCTAAGAGTTAAAAGACGGATTTTTACGGATTCTAGGAAATAAGTAAATGAACAAATCAGAGTAATGTACAACCTCGTTCCCAGGGTCTCTCAACTTCCCGCCCCCTGGAGCGAGCGAGGAGAGAGGGGGCGGGAAGATGAGAGACCCTGGGAACGAGGTTGAGTAATGTAAAGAGAATTGACTGGGGTTTTTCCTCACAGCTAAATCTATGTTCTTCTGATTCTGTTGTACTAAGTCTTATTCAGTAACTTATTATTTTGAAAACGAAATCACCAAAAAAACACCTAAGCTACAACTCCTTATCAGTCCCATAACCGAGGAAAAAAGTTGACCATTTTTCCCCGCCTGATTTGTCTTCTATCTGCATGACCACTAAAAAAAATC